CCCCAAAACCCCAAAACCCCAAAACCCCAAAACCCCTTTATTACAAATATTTATGAAAACCAGGTTATTGAGAAATATAAATTTTGTCAAAATAAAGTCATGGAATTATTTAGCAATGCCATTTTAAGTAGTTTTATGGCTAAAAAGGATAGCTCCAGAACTTTATACTAGCTTGTAATAGATAATAAGTACCCTTATGAATAGCATAATTATGAAACTGAGGATGGTTATATCAATAAGTGTGTCAGAATCTCTGGTATTTTAAAATATATTTAACTCAAATTTAAGGACCCAAAGGTACAGTCGCAAAGAAAAATGTTGAAAACGGAGGACCAAGAAAGCCTGTAGTAGTATTGCAACATGGGCTTAACTGCTCCTGTACAGATTGGATTCTAAACGGAGATAAATCTCTCGGGTTCATATTGGCAGATAATGGATTTGATGTTTGGATGAATAATACTAGAGGAAATAGATATTCTAGACATCATGTTTACTTAGACCCAGATATTGATAGAAAAGAATTTTGGGATTACTCTTTTGAAGAAATGGGCAAATATGATCAACCAGCATTAATAAATTATGTAATTCAAAAGACAGGGGTGAAAAGTGTAACTTATATAGGCCACAGTTAAGGTACTACTTAGATGTTCTGTGCCCTTTCAGAGAATTTTGATTTTTTCAAGGAAAAGATAAATCTCTTCATAGCTCTAGCTCCTGTTGTAAAAGTCGAGTCATGCTCTTCAGGACTTATTAAGAAAATAAAAGATAACTAAACTTTGGAAAATCTTTTGATAAAAAATGAAATCTATGAAATAACGCCTGCTAAAGGAAACAACTCTGGATAGGCTCTATTTCATAAACTCCTTCCTGAAATTAGTAACTTTGGAATTAAGTTGTTATCAGATGACGATCCAAGATAAGTAAATTAAAGTTGCCTTGAAGGGTACTTAAGCCATTATCCATCAGGGACATCTTTAAAAACACTTCTTCATTTCAAGTAACTTATGAATAAAAAGTAGTTTGAGCATTATGACTATGGAGCAGAGGAAAATCTTAAGAGATATGGATAAGAGGAACCACCATTGATACCTTTACAAAATATTCAAGGCTTTCCAATAGCTCTCTTAGCAGGCTCAGATGATCATCTTGCAAATATTAATGATGTGAGATGGCTTAAGGAATAACTATAATAATAGGATTCATTGATATATTATCAAGAATATCCATTTGGCCATCTAGCATTCTTACTTCCAAATACTATCAAGCACTTTTAGGATTGCATTGATCTTGTTAAGAGATACAATCCAGTGTATATTTCAGGGGCAAGAAAAAGACAAAGCAGCTAGAATTCAGGAGGTTTGAACGACTCATAACTTGCAATCTTCTTCTAAAGCACTAGCTCATAGTAAAATCCTTCTTCTAGAGAAGGGGGAGATATAGAAATAAACACACTTTGAATAAGTCTTCGGAATATTTATCAATAGGAAATTATTAATTAAGCAAATTTAAGATTCAATTAAATTTTCATATTAGCACATCACGGGGTTTTGGGGTTTTGGGGTTTTGGGG